AGTCCAGACTGAGACAGACGATATTCTGCATGACTGACCCATCCGGCGGCTGATCACTGTGCGCGGAGATAAGACCTCCGACGAATGTGAAATATGTGGGCGGAATTTTCCAGGAAGTGGCAGGTGTCACACTACGGGTCCCACGATACGGGTCCCGTAGAAGATGGCCGAGCGGTTGTCCATAACCGGAGGAAGTTTATTGAATTCGCCGCCCGGCAGGAAGGTTACAGATGGAGCGACTGTGAGAGTTCAGCGTCACGTGATTAACCCCTTCAGTGCGTTATGTCTGGAAAGCCTGATTTCTGTGTACAGTATGTGTGTATAGATGTATATGGGGATGCGGACACATTTGCCCCTGATCTAGGCATGGTCTGTCTGATAGGAAGGAACAGGCTTCTCTGCAGTCTCTAATGACATAAAACATCCACATGGCCCAAAATCAGCAGAGATCATGTGACCGGTGTGCCTAGGCACCGGTCTTGTTATAGAAGGCCGGGGTGCAGTGGCCAGAAAAATGGAAAGCCCAGAAATGGCTGCAATGACAACATGCTACATGTAGATGGGTGGCCGGGCCCCTCTATGGATTGTCCCAGAGGCCACATACTGTCCACCAACATGGCCGCACACATGGAAGGTGTTCCGGTCACGGACAGTCATACTCCATGCAATCACACAGCGCCATCTATGTGTGCCGGTGCCGGTGCGTGGTACAAACAATTCACCGTCCTCGTCTGACATTCATAAAGGAGCGCTGAAGGCAGCAAAGAGTCAAAATAAACTGATGACCCGCAAATCAGACTTCCAGGATCCTCCACCTCGTCACATCAATATGAACTACAGGAGGAGAGCGCCACCTGGTGGCCATCAGAGCTCATGACCGCCCCGAGGCAGCAAGACGAACCGCATCCAAATACAACTGAAGGGGGGCAAGTCCCAGATCTCCCCCATGTGATCACCAGAGAGAGGTTCCGCTACACTGCTGCTGATCACATCCGGGGCGCCACCTGGAAGTCTGCAGAGCATCACCTGCCATTTATGATCACAGCTGTGCCTCTACCTGGAAGTCTGCAGAGCATCACCTGCCATTTATGATCACAGCTGTGCCTCTACCTGGAAGTCTGCAGAGCATCACCTGCCATTAATGAGGACAGCTGTGCCTCTACCTGGAAGTCTGCAGAGCATCACCTGCCATTAATGAGGACAGCTGTGCCTCTACCTGGAAGTCTGCAGAGCATCACCTGCCATTAATGAGGACAGCTGTGCCTCTACCTGGAAGTCTGCAGAGCATCACCTGCCATTAATGAGGACAGCTGTGCCTCTACCTGGAAGTCTGCAGAGCATCACCTGCCATTAATGAGGACAGCTGTGCCTCTACCTGGAAGTCTGCAGAGCATCACCCGCCATTAATGATCACAGATGTGCCGCTACCTGGAAGTCTGCAGAGCATCACCTGCCATTAATGAGGACAGCTGTGCCTCTACCTGGAAGTCTGCAGAGCATCACCTGCCAATAATGACCACAGCTGTGCCTCTACCTGGAAGTCTGCAGAGCATCACCTGCCATTAATGATCACAGCTGTGCCTCTACCTGAAGTCTGCAGAGCATCGCCCACCATTAATGATCACAGCTGTGCCACTACCTGGAAGTCTGCAGAGCATCACCTGCCATTAATGATGGCAGCTGTGCCGCCACCTGGAAGCCTGCAGAGCATCACCCACCATTAATGATGACAGCTGTGCCGCCACCTGGAAGCCTGCAGAGCATCACCCGCCATTAATGATCACAGCTGTGCCGCTACCTGGAATCTGCAGAGCATCACCTGTCAGGGATCAGCTACCCTTATGAGAAAGAGATTTAACCCTTTGTTGTCAACCGTCTGACACTAGAAGTGTCAGGAGAAATGATCAGATTTCATTGTTTCAGATGATCCTCCAATCGTCCGGGACAACAAATCAAAAACATCAAATATTCAATCAGTGTCCATGTATGTTACTTCTCATGAACACAATCTTCCATGTAACAATCTGATTGGTCTATTACAGTGGTTCTCAACTCGTGGGTCGCGACCCAAAAGTGGGTCGCGACACCCTCTGCAGTGGGTCGCGGCGTCATGTCTGCATAGACCGGCCCATCTGCATTAGAGAGAACTAGAGGGGGAATTTGTGGTTCAGCCTGTGGAACCTCATAATGTCAAACTGTCCCCTCTCTCCCGGCCTCCCCCGGGCTCTCCGATAAAGTGGTATGGCCCGGGGAGAGAGGGGACTATTTCCTCACTTTCGGGCCGGCGCATTAATATCAGGAGCCGCGGCGCCCGACAATTAAGTTATAGTTCCGGTCTGCACTGGAGAGTACAGCAGATATCAATCCGCCGCTGTATCTACTGTACTCTCCAGTCCAGATAGTTCAGTCGGCTGGAATCAGAGAAAGGTAGGCAGGCAGATAGGGAGATGTGCACTGTGGCAGGACAGGGGACACTGATGGATATTATGTATTCCAAGCCCACATAATATCCATCATGTATATCCATCACTGTCCCCTGTCATAATGTATGTTAATTAAATACACAATTAATGTTATTACACAGACTGGGCTCAGAATACATAATGTCCATCAGTGTCCCCTGTCATATTGTCCTCAGTCAGTGCAGAAGCTGGGGGGGGGGGGCATTAGCAGGGGGCTCCGCTGCAATTTTTTTACCTGCAGCAGAGCCTATGCTAATGCACCCCTCCCCCAGCTTCTGCACTGACAGGGAACTTTATGACAGGGGACACCGATGGTCATTATGTATTCCAAGCCCACATAATATCCAATAGTGTCCCCTGTCGTAATGTCTCCTGTCAATGCAGAAGCTTTGGGGGGCATTAGCAGGGGCTTAGTAGAGAACCTGCCGTGGTGCCCCTGCTAATGCCCCCCCTTCCCCATACAGACACCCTCACCACCCCCTCCAGGTTCTGCACTGACAGGGGACATTAGGACAGGGTACATTGATGGACATTATGTATTCCAAGCCCACATAATGTCCATCAGTATCAGTGGCGTAACCAGAGTTATGGGCGCCCGGGGCAGACATTCCCCCCATCCCCCCATTATATAAACATCCATTGGAACTGTACCCCGCAACCGCCACCCCCACACGTTTTTATTTTTATTTTTTTAAATATTTAGATTTTATTCTTTATAAACTTTTTAATTTTTTTTAATTCATTTACTTTCAGCAAAATATATATTGCTGAATACTGCACAAGTTGTTTTGTGTAATAAATTAAAATGTTTCAGAAATGAAATAATTTTTGGGTCACGCCTTAATGACCAAGGAGACATGTGGGTCCCGAGGTTACACAGGTTGAGAACCACTGGTCTATTAGGTTATAAATGAGGTCACCTTTTTATTGCCCTCAGTGTCCTCACGGCTCCCTGCAGGGATTCCCCCCCTCCCCGCTCCGATCCTCCAGCGCTGACTGGTGGAACGGACGGCGGAGGGGGCGGGTACAGCTGGCTCTGCTTCTAGATAGGCAGAGCCAGCTGTCACTCACGTCGCTGGGCGGAGCCAGACATAATTGTCGGGATCCCTTCTGGCTGCGGCGTCTCAGTATACCGCGAGCTGTAGCTCCCTATATACTGAGCCTAGGGTGACGGGAGGACGCTAGTTTGTGTCACCCTGAGGAGAACTATGGGGGAAAGCCCTGACCCCAGAGTTCTCCTTTAATCAGAGAATCTCCCATGAGGAAGAATGGTTACTGTGGTGGGCTCAGGGAGGGATTGCTCTTATTTGGACAGGTAACAGGAACTGTTGTGCAATCATTGCGGATACATTGTTTATCGTTTGGCGAGTCTCCAACTTGTTCTATTAGATACTTTGTGACAGTTACAGGGATCAGATTTTGATAACAAAGTGACTATTCTACTCCAATATCAGCATCTTTTATATCTATAAATCCTTTTCTTCCCCCCCCCCCCCCCCCCAGTGTCCTGCACAGATTGTGAGCCGGGACTTCTCATCCACTATCAGTGCCTGACCTCACACATGGGCCAGATCTCCCCAGACACCCTCCAAAATCTTGTGACCATTACACCAACACTACATGACCAAATGATGGGGTCCAGGGGTCTCCTCTAATGGAGTTCAGGGGTCTCCAGTGATGGAGTTCAGGGGTCTCTAGTGATGGGGTTCAGGGGTCTCCAGTGATGGAGTTCAGGGGTCTCTAGTGATGGGGTTCATAGACATGGTGTGACCTGCTTGGTGGAGGAACTCGAGTGTCCTACACAGAGCCCCGACCTCAACCCTACTGGGCACCTCGGGGATGACATGGAACGCCCACTGTGAGCCGCGTCTTCTCATCCAACATCCGGACCTGACCTCAACCCCTGGGGTTAATTTAAATGCCGATTATGAGTTAGGGTATTTTTTTGGCGCCCAACGTGTCTTCTCATCCAACATCAGTACCTGACTTCACATCAAAGGGGACGAATTCCCCCAGACACCCTGCAAGATCTTGTGGAAAACCTTCCTAGAAGAGTGGGGTACCTCAAGGAGGTACAACTCCATAATAATGACCAGTGGGGGCAAATCTTTAATAATGGCCAAGGGGGGACAACAAATCCTTATTGGGGGAAGGGGACAACTCCATATTATTGGCCTTGGGAGGCAAAAACCTCACATTGATGGCCATGGGGGGAGGGGACAACAATGCCCATGGTTTTGGAATGAGATGTCCATCAATCTCACATCTATTTGATGGTTGGGGGTTCACAGACTTTAGGCCATAGAGCCTACCTGTGGCTCCCACCTGACGCACGCAGCCAGTTTTGTGGGATGTGGTATCAGTTCCAGGCATAGGAAGCCCTTCGTGAAGCGGTGACGCCACTTCAGTACATCAGCAATGTTATTAATAATTATGATTGCATCTCACAAAAGTCATTCCTCCGTACCAGTGACAGGTTCACTTTGGAGTTCTAATGCAGATCCATAAAGTGTCACCGGAACTCGGATCTCCTCCTACCTTTTCCTGACGGGAAGAAGCACTCCATCTCCACGCTGCTCCGGGAGTGGGAGATGCACAGGGCGCTGCTGGGCACCAGGCCTTCCTGGGGGGGGCTCCGGTCCGTCGTCCTCACCAAACACCATCCGGGACGGTCGCTCGGCTTCTCCAGCAGCTCCACCGTCTGACCCACCTGGATGCTCAGCTCATTGCTGTGGATGGCGACGAAATCCTGGAGGACCGTGGTGAGCTCGCAGCCTCCCGACAGCTGCAAGAGACGGGAAGAAGGAGGAGAGACGTCAACACAGGAGAGTCGCCGTAACGCGTTTCGTATGATTTGTAGAACAAAAAGACACAGAAACCTTCACCGGGCCGCCTGCAGAGAAAGATCCGACACTAATGTGTCCACTTCACTTTCTATTCATGGGGATCGTACAATCAGATTGCAGTCTGTAGCCGGGTGAACCTCCCGAATTCTCTCCCAAAACAATTCTTGTATCTTAGTGACAATAAATGTGAC